TTTACAGAACAGGACACACTGGATCTGCTCTTTTCACTGACTTCCCATAAAAACATGGATCTGGTTCAAGACCTTGCTCCTGCTCTTTAAATATTCTGATATACCCTATCAAAGGTGCTTGTACCAGAAAAGTGCAGTCTAGATGAATGATTCCAGATCCAGGAAGTGTCTTTCCAAGGCCAGCCCTGTGCCCTGAAGTCTTAACAAAAGGGAGAAGCAGTGTACAGTTGGTAGCTTGGCTCCTGCAAGTCCAGGTAGGCTCAGGAGCTCAGTATGGTGCCAGGCCAGTACAGCTGGGCAGTATGTGGAGGGGGCCTGGCTTAAGCTGGTCTCTCTGGACTAGCCCTGAAAAAAAAGACTCAGGTGACTGTGCTGGCATTTAACAGGTCAAGACAGCAAAACATCTTTTGATCAGTGGCCAAGAAGGGCTTTTTGAGTGTGGCCAAGTCAAGAGACACTGGAGCCTTGCTTGCCCCAGGCTTGCTGCTAAGAGCTGTAATTTTTCAAGGGGGCTCTCATCATTCAGATCACAGTACTCAGTGGCCGTCATTTATTACAGGGAAGACAAGTAAGTAAGTAGCAATTAACAGCTTCAGGTACTTTCTCTCTTGGTCTGGTGGCCCAGCTTAGTTTTACTGTGGTTTCTGAGACGTGTTTTGCTTTCTGCTGTCATGCTCTGGAATCACTCAAGTGCAATGTTAGCACAAGAAATCCCACAGCCTTTTCTTCCAAATAAAAGCAGAAAGCAACGGCTTCAAGTCATTTCAGCATCCACTTCCCTGCTGTCAGCTCAGTGAAGCAAGGATATGCAAACTCCACTCCAGCAAAGGCTGCAACTGTCAGCACAGTGATATCTCTATCTTTTCCTCTTTTCTCAGAAGTATTCCTGAGAACACTCAAACACGCCTGCTGCAACCAAGAGGCACAACACTTATGACCATTGATGTTTAAGGTTGCGGTCATGGAACAACTGTTTTCATTCAGCATTTATTGTCAAGGAAAGACCTTGGCAAGTTTTCAGATCATCTGTGTGTTGATGTACCTGCCTGTTTCTATACATTATGCACAAAACTACAAACCTCACACATACTAATATGAGAATCTTTCCTAGAAATCTCTTCCTACTGCTACTACCATCTGGTTAAGGTGGTGGAATGCATTTCAGCCATGTGCAGATCACATGAGCAAGTGCTTTTACGTTTATCACCTGATGGGTGATATTTTGTGATCATATAAGGTATATTTGTGCTGCAGTGTCCCCCAGAATTTCCTGTATTTCTCCAAATTTAAACAACATGCTGCTGATGATTTAGTAATTTTGTTGTTCATATTGTCCTGTTCATATCACAACAGGCATTGCTTTTAATTATTAAGGCTATTTTTTATTAGAGATGCATGGGTGGTGAAATACAATGAAAAGCAATCAATTTAACTGATAATAAAATTAGCTGATCATGGAAAGTCAATCTGCTAATTACCTCCAAACTGTGTCCGTGAGCTCTGATTTGCATTTCTTAGACTTCTCACTCTCCAGTGGAATAACTTTTGCAGGGCTGTGTTCTGAGGAACACATGTAACTTCCTAGTAAAAGAGGTCTTCATCATGTTACACCTTTGCTCTCATAAAGGTCCATATAACTTCATAAATTCTTTGTGACACACAGGCATTTGACTGTATAATTTACTACAGAACAGGCAGCTGACTAAAGAATTTTTATGGCAAGTTTTTCATGAAACAATAACAATTAGATTGACCTCTTTAATTTCATAACTATCAAGAAGTACGTAGTACTTTGATTTCTTTATTGTTATATTTTCAAAATATCTTGTGAGATTTAAGTAGTGGTGCACACATTAAGGTCAATCTGAATCATGTAGGTAGAGAGTACCTTCGGATGAATTTCAAACTGTCCTCAGTTCCTGTGATTGTCAGCTGATTTGTTTACAGAAATTCTAGTAATAATCCAGTGAAAAACCAAACTGTGAGAGCAGTGGGACCAGTAGAACTTGGTTTTCTGTGGGTCTTTGCATAGTGGTATTGGCAGCTGGGCATAGCACTGAGGGTCTCATTTTAGCAAGCATTTGTATGGTTGTTTAATAAGACTACATCTCCTTTTTATCACCAGTATTAATAGGTGGTTTCAGAGTTGGGTATGATACAATTAAAGATGGCTCTCAGTTTTTATATATCATGTCAGTTTGATTATGTTCTAATTTTTCTTTTAAATACTGGCAGATACAACAAATAGCTCATCCAAAATTAAATATTTTTCTTCATGTCTGTTTTTAAAAACAGATTATTAAATGTAAGCATTGAGTCACTTTCCAAAAAAAAATTACCATCTTGTGTTGAAAAACTGCAATGCTTTAAAGGTAATAGCATTAAAATATTTTAACTTTTTAAAAAAAAAAAACAAAGTTTTTTTTCCACAAATTTGAAACAAATTCCTGACAGAGAGGGTGGAGTAAGGTAAAAGGCTTAAGACTCATCATGGTTTGCTTACACTTCCAGACTAAAGGAATCCTGTACACATAAAAGGAACTTTGAGTCATAACAGAATAGAACTATAGAACAGTTTGAGTTCGAGGTTGGAGGGGATGTTCAAAGGTCCTCTAATCTAGTCACCTACATGCAGGGATGTCTTTCACTAGATCAGGTTTTTCAGTGAAGAAGAACAATGTTGATGTCACTTATCAAGGAAGTTGTGAAAAACCTTTCAGCAGAGGAACAGGCAAAGCTTTCAGGTGTGCACATGCACTTCTGATGGCAGGTAAAGCTATTCTGCCAGATAGTACTGGCTCTAGGTATCCAAGAGACAGGCAATAACAAAAATTAATATAGGTGACAATTAGTCATTGCATTTGGCTTCTTTTCACTATTAAAAGAGAGTTCTGATCCTATAGGAATGATATGAATCTGTGTTTGCCAGAGCCAGGCTGGATTGGAATACCTTCCTAATTGCCACATAGAAATCCAGGGCTGTCCTAGTGTAAGCTCTGGAGGATTGCTGTGGAAAACAGTCACAGGAAGAAGGCAGGTAAATGGTGACAAGTGGGCCCAGGGTCACTTTGGTTAACTGTTACCAAGTGATGGGCAGATAAATATCGAACGTCTAAGAAAATGTGGGATATCCTTTCTCTGAAATGAGTCTCATCAGGCTTGGACACCAGACCAGTCAGACCTCTGAGACTTCATGTGGAGTAAAGTGGGGTCACACTTCCCTCCAGAAAGCAACTCTGGGTTTTGTAGGGCCATGGGCAGCTAAGACATGGGAATATCCTTGCTAAAATCTGGTGGTAGTAGAGATCAAAAGTGGGAAACTTTCATGTTCAGACTAAAACCAACTTACTTAGAAATAGAGACGTGTTTGGACTTTGTCCTCTACTCCATTTGCATAGCTTTTCCACTTGATATTAGCTAGTCGCCCCTGACCAACAGTAAGAGCTGGGAAAGAACACCCTGGCAGCTAATTCCAGCTCAAAATGCACACAACACACCAAGGATGGTCTGAAAACCAGAAAGACATGGCGGTGAGATAACAAGGTCACTGCAGACAAGCAGCTGCAAAGGCACACTTCCATCTGTCTAAACCTTTGAGTATGTTTGAACATGATGGTGTACTGAGGCTAAAGAACTGGAAATGTGGGATGATGTGCTTAAATGCACAACCTCTGTTTGCCCTTGTGAAGATTATGAGCCATACCTAAAAGCACATTGCCACAGGATCAGGTAAATTGGCTTTTATTGAAACATACTGTAATATGAGGGAGGGAGCTGGGGGAAAGATTCCAATTTAACACAAGTACATTGCATTTCAGGCTCCCAAATAACTATTGATATCTGCTGTCCTGGAGCAAATCATATCTTCCTTGACAAGTCAGACAGCTGCTCTTTCTCTATCTTCCTTTTGTTATCTTTAATAGCCATGGATTGTTGTGGAACCTTGAAAAAATGTTTGCGTCTTACTTGATGGATGTCTCACCTCCCTCTATTAGCCTTGGTTCATGGGTTCATCTAATGTCTGTTCTTGCCTACAAAATTCAGACCAAGTGCTTTTGAAATGAGAGTGTGCCAGGTGTCACTGCACAGTGAGTGCAGTGCACACTGCCTTCATCTCCCCTTCCCCTCCAGCTGGCAGCCAGTGAAATCATCTTGAAATACAATTAAGTTAGAAGAAACCTCCAGAGCTCATTTGATCCAGGCTTCTGCTCAGAGCAGGGCCAACTTTCAAGTCCTGTAAGTTTTCACATGGTCTTCCCCAGATGAGGCCTGACTATCTCCAGGAAAGTCAATCCCACAGCTTCTTAAGGCAGATGTCTCCATGTTTGATCACAGTTATTGTGAATAATTTTTTTTTTTCCATTTGTTTAAGGTACAGGAACATTGTCATTTTTTTAAATACAGGAATACTAGCAACCACAAGATAGGGTTAAAGAAAACCATGGTTGTATTGGACCAATGTCAGCCAGACTTTGAATTAAGATGACAAACAAATCACTGTTTGCACTTGCTGTGCAAGGTCTCCCCAGGCTGCTCCAGGTCAGCCCAAAAACGTGCCAGGTCAACCCAAAAAACCTTCAACAGCAAAACAAAGTGTACCTGTGCTACACAAAGTTATGTGTCTTTGTGACCATTCAGCCAGCAAAGCTGTAGAGGCACAGCCTTCTGCATTCAAGCACTACAAAGAACTGGACAAGTTAACAGTATGAACAGCCACGATCCCTTCTGCAGTCTTTCCATGGCAATTGCCTGTTTGCCCTGACACCGAGAGAAACAATTGCAGCTGGAAACCTGAGTCTGTTTGATGAGTCTCTGTCCAAAATCATCAAAGAGCATCTAATAACAATGGCTAGTGTCCATTTAGAAGCAAACTTTAAACCAGAGCATTTAAAAATCTGCTTCTAGGGAACATCCTTAAGCTGATGAAGTATCATAGAAGTCATATGTAAATTCAGACCCTCCACCACGAAACTAACATCCATGCTTTGTGATTTGAGCAGGTCCCCAGTGGTACCCTTCCCGTGTTGGCCTGCAGCTAGAATGCAGTAAGTATTCTTCTGGTTGCATACAGCCACCTAACATATTACTATTCCTTGTCAAGTTCTCTTCCTAACAGTATTCCTCACTCTCTGTGTGTTATTGGGTGAACTGTTAGTACTTTTTCATTAACTGATATTGGTGATTAACTTATGAGTTTTCTCGTTAATAAAAGAAACTAGTGGTTTTCATAACCGCTGAATAAGAATGTTTCATAATACAGTATACGATCAAATAACGAAGATAAGGTAGTTCTAAAACCATCCACTCCCCTCACTCACTGCAAGCTTTAATACTTGCTCACAGCCTCATCAGAAGATGCAACTGGCTCCAGGAGAGATCCTCTTTTCTATGTCAGTACAACAGTTCTTGGTGGACATGGCAGTGGGAGATGAATCTGCCATGGACTGCGTGGCATTTGGTTTGTGGACACGTAATATTGCAGAGCCCTAGCAAATGAGGGCCCAGCAGCTGGTGGAATTTAGCACCCTCACTGACTTAAACAGTCAACAGTGAAAGGGAGGCACGATACATAAAGTGGAAAAGAGAAAAGAAGTATTGCAGCCATGGCAACATCTTATGCCAGTGGCTGTTGGGGCTTCCTAATATGCAGCTCATTGCATCTATAAAAAAAAAAGAAGGAGAACCAGAGATTGCCATTTTATGTCTCTGCCTGTACACTCGAAGTGCATCAGGGCTAGAAGCAGATGCCCCAGAATACTGTGAGAAGTAATGTAATGCTCAGACACAGCTGCCTGCCTGGGTCAGAGAGCTTGCAAAGAAACTGGGGGCCTTTGCCCAAGAAGTTACATTCATCATGATAGTACCGCCTACTGTAAAATAGCCTGAGAATGCAAAAGATATCAGTGAGGGAGATACTGCGTCACATTGACTTTCCCATTAGTCTTGCAAGACAGAACAGAAAGTGCTCTATGAAATTGTCTGTGTGATTGCATGGCATGTCTCTAATGGTCTAGATTCACAGAGATAGCATGGTTACAATTTCTATGCATTGCCGCCCAGTGTCATGTCAGCCTAATGCTTTTGTTAAAATGAGAGGAGAATAGCTCTCATTGAAATGCTTTGAGTTGCTGACCTGGAGAATAAGTACCAAGTGAACTTAATAAATGAGAATACAAGTTGGGCCTACACCTTGACCATTAACAGGGCACCCTACGTGTTACGCTGAGCCTCTGAGAGGATGCCTGTTGTTCATGCCATCTCCTTTTCCCGTTTTTCATCACAGATGGGCCCTATTTGAAGGATTCCATTAACATTCAAAGCCTTGCTGTTTCCTCCATCATTACACTGTATTTTACAGACCTGGGTCAGCAGGTCGGCTGGACCACAGTAAGTATGTCCTTGTAACAATCAGTGCGATACATCTTAATGTACAATATGTTTTACCATAAAATTACTCCAACTTCCTTCCCTGTCCTTCCCTATGTCAGATGGTGTAATTACTTTATCTGCAATCAAAACAGAATTAAATGGATAGTGAACCAAGTTATCAATGTGCTAACACTGACATCCAATTAAAGATTACAGGGTGGACATAACAATATTACCCAAGGAGAAAAAAAAAAAAAAAAGTCTTAAAACCAAGGCAGAAGATGCTCAGCCAGGCTCAAGAGTCCCAAAACTTCTGAATATCTTTGTAAAGCAAAAGCATTCTCCATGCCCAACAATACCTGTATTATGCTATAGGTAGCACCATGGTCTGTTTTTACTTCTGGTCTCAGTTGGACTTGTTATCTTCCTGTAAGCAGCTCCTGGAAGGTCAAGGGTGGCAGGAGAGAGGCAGCACGTTCCACCCAAATGGGCTTGTGGGAACTCTAAACTCATCTGCAGATGAAGGAAGTGAAAGACTGAATTCTTTCACAGCCCAAGGACAGAAGACAGCAGAAGGATTTGAAAGGACAGTGAAGGAATGGGAGATGAAGAGACCTTCCCAACATCCTGCAGCAGGCATAGGTGTTGCAGCTGAAGGTAGTCTCACTACTAGGCTGACCTAGCTTTTGCTGTAGTTAGGATATGTTGCAATAGCTGGAGTAACACATAGCCCTCTTCTATATACTGGGTACTGAGATTCCCAATTTCTGCAGTGAGAAAGATGAATAAGACAGAACTACAGTTTCCAAAAGCCATAAAATCCATGCTAAGACTATTCATAGCAATGGAAAACAAACTGCCAATTGCTTGCAATTCCTGTAAGTGAAGGAAGTGAGTTTTTGTTAACTGACATCATGGCCGTAGGCCAAATTATTAGATTACCTCAGGCAGCCCACAGTTCCCATGCTGCTCAGGTGGGGTGACCACAAAACCCACAGACAAGCCACTGTCCTTCCTTTGCTGTGCCTGTGTGGATGGAGCTTATGAATGTCAGGTCTTTAAGCAGCTTGCAGGGGTTAGTACCGATTCCTCCCTTGGGTAAGTCACAATGGACTAGGAAGCGTTACTATAAGACACTTAGAATTAACATGCTATTCTGCATCTCCTTGTCTGTTAAATAGTAAGCTCAAGACAGATGTTATGGCCAGAACAGCCCTTGACTTTGGGAAGAGTCAGCTCCTGGATCAGCACTGTTGGGTCACATATCCATCTCACCTGCTTGAGCTCATGTGCATTTCTCTCTCCCCAGGGAAGAGGACAGACCCTAGCAGCACGAGCTCTGGCAGGCTTTAGCCTCTATGAACACGAACACAACCTGTGTCTATCCTTCCTAGTTCTAACAACAGACCCAAATCCCCAGGTAGTGACAAAGTTCAATGGAGTTAGAGCAGTTCACCCCATGCAACCTACCTGTTTCAGTAGAGGTCTGCGAGTTTACAAGGCTGAGGCTTTACCTCACTGACCCCATGCTAATTAATGCCTACTAGGGCCATATTAATTAATGCTAGTTGGGGTCCCCTTTCCCCCCAAACCTATCCTACCGCCTTTCAACTGTGGAATTCCCTTGCAAAGCAAAATTATGATTAGTGCAGCTTCCTGTTTGCTACAATTAAGTAATCTGCAAGAATCTTATTTATTCTCTCTCTTACTGGTGGTTTATGTAGCCTAAGACAGTAACATAACTAAAACTTAATATCCCATTATAAATAGTGCAGTTATGACTAGGCGTTGATACTGCAGTTAGAGGCATTTTTTTATGATTTAATCTGTGTGTGCACAAAGTTGACTCCACGAGTTTCTGAATATTCATCTTGTCACATTCTGTTTCATATTCTAAGTTGTCTCCATTCTCAGTGGAAGAAATCTCCCTAGCCACATCATTTAAATACTCAAGAGATTTTTATTATAACTAGTCTATAGAAATAGAGAAAAAGTTCACAGAAGATTGTGTTCTAAGAATAGCAATTAAGGATGCATTTGTACACAGGATGTATAGTTTTACTGCCGTTTTTACTGCGCTTAGAGCTCCCGTTCTCCCATCTCCCTTGATGCTCTATCACATTTATGCACACAGTGAGGAGTGCTTCTGATTTAAAGGGCTGACATTTAGATAAACAAGGCACACAATAAAAATATTCTTATCTTATCAGCGAAATGATAACTGAGGTACAAAGGGCCACATTCAGGTCTGGACTCCAAAAACAGACACAGAAGCCCACTGGAATATGTTGGTCCTTCAGAGGTCAATGTATTGGGCATGGATCTGGCTAGGGGAAAACTAAACACAAAGGTGAGTCTTTTGGGCTTTTTCACCTCCTTGGAGATCACACCTGAGATGCCCACTCCGGAATCAAGAACACTAGGACCTCCAATGCTGGGAATTTACAAAAAGTCAATAAGCTGTGCTTTTTAAAAGGGGAAAGTAGCACCCACTTACACGTCCTGGGAGCAGTATCCTCTCCTGGCATATTGTAAAGTAAAAAATGATGCTGTTGTCTGTTTCCAAACAAATGGTTTGGATCTTCAAGTCTAGGAGCATATTTCTGAATCAAGAAACCTCAGTTTCCCTTTTGGAGCGTGCATAGTCTCTGATTTAGACTCCTTGTCACACTCTACCTTCATGGCTCAAGAGTTGGTCATCTCCTGTTGCCTACTAGGTCCCTCTGTCAGGGAGGCTGCCACTTGGTAGGAAGAGTGTTTCCTTCTCTTCCTCAGCCTTCTTAAAATATGGTCGGACAGTGACCGAGATATTTTTGGTGTTTTGTGCTGTGAAAGGCCAGACATCCCCTGGGCATAGGTTACACCACAGCTCAGAGATTGGCTGACCAGATTTGAGCAGGTTCTAGAGGATGGGTTGCTGTCAGGGAGGACAGAGGACAAACTGGTGTGAGGGATTTGCAGTTCTCCTCTACTGGAGCAATTGATTGTCAAAGCTCTTTTGAGAATGAGGCCCTTTCCTGGGATAATGTGGGTAGAAATCCAACTTCATCTGACTCTTTTAGAAGAGGGGAGGCTCTCAAAGATCATTTCCAGAAAGCAATTTAATGTTTCTTAGTTTCATAGATTTTGCTAGAACTTTCTCTCTTACTCTGCCTTCTTTTTTATAAAACAAATATTATCTGAAACACATCATTTACTTCTGCACAAGATTTACCCATTCCTTTACCCTACCTGGAGGGCATAGCTGAGGTTTGCTGACTGATATTGCAGAGATCCTAATGGGAGCTGAGTTTACGGATCTTTTCTATATGCCTCCTGCAAAGATTGTACCCCCAGGGGTGTTTGAAATTCCCATCAATGGAATGATGGGTTTTATTTTTAATCTCTGTCCAATTTTGGACCTAAGCATGTTTGACAGAGGCCTCTTTTTACATATTATGTGATATGGCACATGACTTTTTGAAACATGGCTGGCATTTTACTGCTAAGAATGCATACTGCTGCTGTACTCAAAAGGAAAAAGAAAACCATTCTTCCTGCTCAAATTCAGACTTCTGTTAAAGCTTTCCTCATTTGAGCAGTGATTGCAGTTTCTGATTTATCACCTTCTGTTGTCTAGTTGCTACCTAGGCAGGCTACCAAAAGGATTAAAATAGAACTGAGAAAATAGCATAGAACTGTGAAAAAGATATTTTACCTCCAAGTCTGTGAATTTCCTAAGATTAACCCTGAAACACAGTACTTCAGTAAATATTTTTTTGTAACTGAGATTTAAAATTAGGGATTGCTTAAATATTTGACTCCTGAGAGCCTTAAAATACTGAAGCTGGCAGCAGAACTGCTACATTTCAAATTTTCCAATGAAAAAAAGATTCTGCTCCATTTAGAAATGTAGAGACTAATACTTATTTAAACCCCAGAACATCTTTGAAATCTGAAAATCCGTGCTTTCACTAATTGGTCTGTTCCCTTCTGGCTGACAAGCAAAATTATTACCAAGTTAGACATTGTGGAAAATGAACAAGAAGCCAAGAGATTTATGTTTGAAGCCCTGTGGTACTGTATAGCAGGTGTACGTGGTGGGGAAGTGCATGCTGCAGTGGTAACGAGGTGTGCCTGTTCTCTTGGGGGGAAGGCAGTGTTCAGTCAGTGTGATTCTCTCCTCATACTCTCACAGTGCACTCTTACCAAAGTTTTTCTGTCTTGCAGATGTGGGTGGGAGGTCCAGTTTGCTCTGATTGTGGCTGGCAGAGCTCACTGATGTGGAACAATCCCATGAAATCTGTGGGATGAATGTGATACAAAGCAATTTTTGAGTATTGATGGGTTTGAAAAAGAGGCAGCCACACTGCTGCAAACTCATTTTCGCCACCTTCTTTATACTGAGGTGAGCTTTGGTCCTCCCATGGGGAACAACTTAAGATGTTTTCTCTAATTTGGGAATGGAAGAAGAGACTTCAATAAAGGTTTATAACATTTCAATGGGATGTAGAAAGTATAGACAATTACAGTAGAAGAAAAAGAGACAGGATTTGTGGAATTTGAAGGAGTGGGAAGGCTGGGACTCCCAGAAAACCAGTGGGCCATAATGAAGAATATAAATATAAAAAACCTCATACGAGTTCCTTAGGAAAAAAATTTGAGATCAAGGTAAAAGAAGCAGATGAGGATCTACAGGATGTATCAGTAGAGAATGTCACAGAATGTATTTCTCAGCAGATATATATCACTGCTTGCATATTATGTAGACAATTCAAACAGATGTGGGACAGGGCCCTACAAATTGAGTAACACTTTCAGGGGATTGTGGGTACCTGGAAAACTTAGCAGCAGTGCCAAATAAAGAGAACATGTGATTCTGCATAAATCTGTATGGCTTAAGAATGACTATGACAAAGTGCCAAAGAGAGAAACACCCAAACTTTTTTCGTTGTTAAGCCTCTTAGATCAATAGATAATTTTGTCATGGAAGATGGTCTCCAGGAAATAAAAAAGTCACTATTTCCTCTACAGGACCT